CCCCCCCCCGGGCCTGTCCGTATTCAGAGCCCCGCCCCCTTTGGGAATACTAGCGTAACGCTAAGAGTAATTTTATACAGGCAATGCCCACTTCCGGTTTTAAGCCACGCCTACTTCCGGTCAAAGCCACACCCAGTTCCGGTTATAACCTCTTTATTCAAAGCCTGACCACTTGGGAATAACAGTGGAAGGATTGTAGGCGGGGCTAAGCATGGCCACGCCTCCTTTTATGCCACTAATCCGCACCTCTCGACCAATAGAAAGCTTGAGTGTGACACGGCCCCACCCACTTTGCTAAGCCCCGCCCCTTGCCTGAATCCCCTCCCCCTCCCTGCTTTAAGCCTCTCCTATTGGCTCCACCCAAACGTAGCCCCGCCCTCTGCTGCTAAGCCCCACCCCCTCGAGACAGGAGACCTTTCCTATTGGCTGCTGCAAGGCAACCTGTGGGCGTCGTCACCTTTGGCCACGCCCCCTACCCTGAAAGCACTCAACCAATCGCCATTTAGAAAGCCCCACCCCCTGCTTGCTATTGGTCTGCTAAACGGAAGGGGGCGTGGCTTAGCAATAAAAGGGTCTGCAGCTGCAGCCAATCACAACCCCTCCGCCCCATCCAATCAGGTGAGGGTTTGGTCCCGCTGGCTCCACCCCCTTGTCTCCAAGCCCTACCCCTTCAAGCTCCGCCTACCGGAAGTCCCGCCCACCGGAAGCCCCGCCCCTCACCTGTTTTTTCAGCTTCTTCCGCTCCTTTTTGCTGATTTGCTCCTTTTTCCCCCCATTTTCCTCTTCCTCCACCTCATCCTTGGGGGCGGGACTTCCGGGGGCGGGACCGGCTTTGTGGGCGGGACTTCCGGGGGCGGGGGCTGCTTTAGGGGCAGGACTTCCGGGTTTTTCAGCCTCTTCTTCCTCCTCCTCTTCCTCCTCGTCGTCGGAGAGCAGAGCGGCAAATTGGTTCTGGGGGGGGAATGGGCCCAAATGCTGGAGCACACGGCCGCACCCACCGCTGCCCCATAGCTGCCCCATAGCTGGACCCATAGCTGCCCCATAGCTGCCCCATAGCCGGACCCATAGCTGCCCCATAGCTGCCCCATAGCCGGACCCATAGCCGGACCCATAGCTGCCCCATAGCTGCCCCATAGTCGGACCCATAGCTGCCCCATAGCTGCCCCATAGCCGG